TTAAGTTCTGAATGGCCATGTCCGATTGGGGTCAATTGGCGTCTATCAGCACCTGTTTGTGCCGATCAGAAAATATGACAAATCGGTCATAAATAGTATCAAAATTGGCCTAAAATCGGCCATCTGATTTTTAGTCAATTTGAACTATTTCGACTAGTGTAGATTATATAAAATTTAATTTAAAATTTTATTTCAGTTCAAATTTTTTTTAAAACTATAATTTAATTTAAATTAAAAAAATTCTGAAAATTTTATATTAAACTAAAAAATTCTAAATAAAATAAATATATTACTTTAATTAATAATAAAAATAATATTTAATTAAAATATTCAAATATATTATTCTAATTAAATAAATTTTATTGTTTAATTTAAATAATCAATTATATTATTCTAATTAAATGATAAAAATATCATATAATTTAAATTATCAATTATATTATTTTAATTAAATAATAAAATTATCATTTAATAGAAATAATTAATATATCATTTCAATTAAATATTATGTAACAATATTCAGCAAATGTTGAAATAATAAATAATTCAAATGATATATCATTTTTCATTTGTCATTTTATTACTCAAATGATAAATAATTTTAGTTATTTAACCAATATTTTATATTTTATAAAAATTTTTTAACCATTTTATTTATTTAAGATTATAGAATCAAACTTTAAAAAAAAATATAAATTTATATTTATAATAAAAAAATTTTCAAAAGAAGTATATATTTTTTAAATTACATGATAATTTTATAAAATTAAAATAAATTAAATAAGTTAATCTTTTAATATATAAAATTTTACATAATCTCATAAATTATAAAAGTTTATAAATAAATTTATCAGTTTATTTATTATAAATTTTTTTCTAATTAACTTTATTAAAATTTTTAAATTAATTTTATAAAATATATTATATTATAATAATTTTAATTTTTTAATTATATAATAAAAAATTAAAATTATTTATAAATTAAAATTTGTAATTTTTAAAAATTTTTATTATTAATCTTTGATAATCTTATTAAAATTTACTTTTAAATATATTAATTATAATATTATTATAAGATTTATTATAAAAAAAATTTTAATTATTACAATTTTATAACTTTTATTAATAATTAAGTGATTTAATTAATCTGTAAATAGAATTTTTAAAAATAATCTTTTAATATTGAATTAAAATTAAATTATTCTTAATACACTTAAAATATCTTTAATAAAATTAATAAAATATATATTAAATTATATTTTTAAATAATATTATATTACTAAAATTAATATTTTTTAAAATTTGCAAACAAATTTGCTTACTAAATAATCTACATATGAGAAGTTTGCTAGGAAATCAAGCTTTGAGAATTTTTTAACAAAAATTTATTTTTATTGCATTTTAGTTTTTGATGTTATTAGATTAAAATGTAATAAGATCTTAATTTTAATCAAAAAAATTCCACAGTCTGATTAACTTAGTAAACTTTCCATATAGAGAAAATTATGATAGAATCCTTATTATTTAAAGGATAATTAATATATTAATATTATTAAAAAAAATATGATATAATATATATAAAATTTTAAATTGTAAATATAAAAATATGCAAACTAAAATATTATTTCAAATATATATTATATTTTATTAAAATAAAATATAGTACAATCTACTTTATAATTTGGTTTATAATATATATTACTTACAATATACTTTATAATTTGGTTTAACTTATTATTCTAATAAAAAAAGTATATACAATATTAACGATCCAACAATTTATTGTAAAAAAAAATTTTTTTTTAAATGAATAAAATAAAGCTAACCCATTTCAACATTGCGTTTCCACACATGAACATGAACACATGATCACATGAATAATATCGCCGAACAAATTGTAATTCGTGATGTACACATGACCTCTTACAAACCTTAGTAACTAAATCTTAAGTGGATAATTTAAATGTTAATACTTGTTTATAAATTTCCCAGAGTTGTCAAATTCAAATTCTCCGATATATCTATCGATTAATCTACAAAAAAGAAAATTTACCAAAGGAGGAATGGAGTGCAAAATTTATTTTAAAGAATCCTTATTAGTTTTAACACCACGAGACATGAAATAATTTTTAATAAAATAAATCTGAATATGTAAAAATTTTGCAGAAATCAAATTTCTGAAATTTAATAGCATTATTAATTATTATTAAGTTATTCCTACTATAAGGAAATTTTATAGAAAATAATCTGTACAAGTTTTTTTTTTTTTTTTTTTTAAAAAAAAAAAATACCAAACAAAATTGTAGATATAAATAAAAAAAAAAATAAGTGTCCAAAAATAAAATTTTTTTTTCTAAACTGAATCTTCTTAAGGAAAAATGAAAAATTGTCTTTTTTTGAAATTTTTTTAAAAAAATGTCAATTCTGTAGTCTTTAAGCGAATGACGCGAACGACCATCATTATTCGAATTATTCGATCATCTTGTAGCGATACTCCGTATGCTATTATTATTCATATAATCACAGTATCCAGCATAATATGTATCAATGACATATTACGATTACGGAATTAGGGAGATTTGAAACGAACGTACAAACACCTTTTGGAATCTTTTACTGAATAAGATGACTATATATATTATAGAAAATACATTCATATATATTTACAGGGATTGATGATGAAAGAGTTAAACTCCGCCAACCAATTTGTTCATCATAACTTCGATCTTCTTAATATAGCATCTTTCAATGGTTCTAATCGAAATTTAACATCTTTCATTACCTTTGAAACAGGCTCCCAATCTTCATATTGTTTTCGCAACTTTAGTATCTCATGTGCAAATTTATTTGATTCTAAAACTCCTCGGTCCTCTAAAATACCACGCATTGCCCATGGTAAATAATACGGGTTGTTTTTCTGCTGTGCTTGAAAACGCTCAAGTTTGACATTACAATAACTAAGTGATGGTGTTTCAAATAAATAACGTACTGCCGAACTATTTTAGATAAAGTTATTATTAGGATTCTGATATGTAATATCATTGAATAAAAAAATCGTTTAACTTAAATTATTTATACATACGTATACACATTAATTTCGTTGTATAATGCTGAATGACCTTCGCCATACATGGAACCAGCAACAACTTCACTTAATTGAACCATCAACCCATGATCTAAAATTCCAGCATTACGTAACCGAATTGCGAACACAATTAGATTTGTCAAGAAATCGTTGGGTTGATACAATGGGCCATCGATGTAAATTGAACGCATAATTGATGGATGATCAACTCCAGCAAATATACCAGAATATAACTAATAAATGAAAAAAATAAACAAATAAATATTTGTGAATTTGAAATTAAATTTCGATAAATAAATTAACACGTACCGGTACTACTTGATCGTCCATAGAAGCTACGTATATAAGCTTAACTCCTCTCTGAATTATTACATTCAATGCTTCCCTATATTTTTTGGAAACGAGACTGTCTGAATCCATAAATTCGAATAATTCCCTGGCAGCATCTGCATCATGACTACGACCAGCACCAACAAAATATTTTACTATGTAATTTTCTTTTAAATATGGGAAAGGTCCATGCGAAATACCAGCCATTGCCAACATACAAATACGTTGTCGTTTAGGATGAACGAGTCCTTCTTTGATGAGTCGAGAAAGAAGGATAGTGCTTACTGGTGTACCTTGTGAATGAGTTGCGACAAATACAACATCTGCAAAAGATAAGGCTTCACACCATGTTTTGTTTTTTGACAAATTCTGATAGAGTAACTCCTCTCGAGTAGATATAGTTCCTTCACCTTCAAGTGGAATGCAAGTAATTGAATCACTTGGAAGAATGTTTCCATGTTGTGATAAATAACCTAGAACAGCTTTTGCCATCATGTCACAGAATTTAGGTGAAGTGCCTGTGGGTTCACCAAAAACAGCCCTTAAAGATTTTGCTGGAAACCATCCATGAACTCCAATAATTGCAATGCGCTTGACATCCACGGTCGAGCGTGTTATTTCGTCCAACCACTTTGGAAGGGTACTCTCAGGTAATCTATCAGGAGGAAAGAAATATGTGTTTATAGCATGTAAAGTTTTCTGTACCATTGAATTCGGATGTCTGCGAGGCTTATTTTCTGCAAACTCCTCAAAAGTAGGTAATAAAACATTAACAGGTACGGGTTTTAACTTTGGTGGTACACTAACGCTTGATGAATCCACCGAAATTTTTTTCTCAACTTCGACAGTCGTTGAAACTTTGAGAGAATTTTTTGAATCATTTGCCGTATTTGCCGATCCCTTCTCTGAAGGTGAAGAAGAACCGTTTGTAATCATTTTTCTATCGGATGCATTTTCAATTTTTGCGCTTTTAGATTGAGTATGCGAAGCATTAGTGAAGAAATGCAACCAAGAAGACCTATTTTCAGGTAAAGTCTGAATAATTGGATTAGTTGGCCGTTTATGGCTACATTGTGGACTTTTCTTATCATTATTCTCAGAATCTTTGGATGAATGTTCGTTCTGTTTCTCTTCTTTAATTGGGCCTTTTTTTGAAGGATTTACATTAACATTATTTGAGGAAGTAGTGGGCTCAGACTTGGTTGCTGATGAGGATGTTGGTAATGAATGAAATTTTGATTTTGATTTATCATCCTCGCCAGCATCCTTGCTGCTTTCACCTTCATTAGTGAACTCCAAGTTTGTTGTTGAAGGCGACCATGTACCAAATAATGACCATCGCCGTATTTCAGACGATGACTTCTTTTTGACTCTCCTTGTGCTCCCAGTTGACGTTGAATTTCCATCATCAGAAGTTGTTGTTAAAATATGATTTGTTAAATTTGAATTTTTAGAAACTATTGATATCTGATCCGTCTGTTTATTTTCTGTATTAAATTGAGTTGGTTCAGATGTTAATCTATTACTTATTATATTTTCGGGCTTAGCCGTATTAGAAATAGTTAAATTGTTGGACGAGACATCTTCACGTGAGGAAGTGCAATTGCCGCCACCGAACATCCACCAACCTCTTGAAGAGGTTGTTGATGACATTGAAGAATATGATGATGATAATTTTGCATCCGAAGTTTTTCCAATGAGCGTAGAATTTTTATCTACGATATCCGCATCTGATGATCTCGGTTTCTTTTGTCCATTCTCTCGCGAATTTGATCCCGTTATTTCTACTTCAATAGGTTGTGAATGTTTCTTTTCATCTGGACCATTTTCGTTTATAGGTGTAAGAATACTAATAGATGATCCATTATCCTGTCTTAAAAGTTGTTTATCATGCCTAACAGACCTAGATTTATCATTGTTTTGATTTGTCGACGTATTTGAACCTGTTAATGATTTTTGTTTTTCTTCTGTTAAATTATTTTGTATCGTAGTATTCGGTATTGAAATAGTCTGTTCCTTTTGATTAAAGGATGAAGAAGAAGTTGACCACCAACTTTTAAAAGAGGAAAAAGATTTATTTTTTTGTTCATCATAATTTCTAACTCGGCTGTTTGGATTTTTTGGTATTGGTATAGCATTAGAAGTTTGACAGTTATTTGTTGGTATCGAGGAAGGTTCTACTAAAGTTGTAGTTGATGTATCCGAGGCGGTTTCACTTATTATATTTTCTGAACATCCCTGTTCTTTTATAGGGGATGAAGAAGATATATTATTATCATTGTTTTGCGAGTCTATGGATGATAAAGTATTATCATTATTATTTTGTTCAGCAAAACTTTGTTCAACGATAGAGAAACCAAACCACGAACTACGAGACATGTATTTTTTATTTATATATATTTTATATATATATATATTTTGAGTAAAGAGACAAAATTTTTATTAAAAAATAAACGGTAAAAAAAAAACAGATGGATCAAAGATTCTTTTAAAAAAAAAAAAAAAAAAAAAAATTTTAAACGAGAGAGAGGAAAACGGAAGGATTTTAAATCATTTTTTTTTTGTTGGGGATGATTTTTAAAATAAAAACTCTATCACTATACAATTTTTTATTATACAAATTAAACAAATATGATGTAATGCCAAATTACGGCACATTACATTTTTTTTAATTCAAAAATTCTTTATGTAAGTCATTAACTGTTGTGAAAATCTTTGACCTATTAAGATATGATCTGATATGTTCACGTTGAGAAAGACATTGGATGTTGTGGACTTTGTGACACACCAAGAAAATCAACTATCAGTTATAATATAAAATAATTCATTCAGATTGTTTTAAATACCTTTCTTTTTTGGGGTATTTCGTGTAATGTTTATATTTTAAATTAATTGGACAAAATTCTAAAACGGGGAAATATTCTTTTGGGGGAATTTTTTGGGGATTCTATCATATGAGTGATATGTGACTCACATCTTAATAAAGTATAGGAGTTTGATATTTTCAAAGAAAAAAAAAAAAAAAAAAAAAAGAAAGGGAAAAAATATGTATAATTTTTAATAATGACAATAATAAATAAATAATTTCTTTTTTCTTTTTCTAAGATCCAATTTGAGTTTAGTAATTGCACTATCTAGCATACAGTTTAGTATATAAAGCAAATGAATATCAGCATTCAATGCGTGTGACTGAGGGAAAAATTGTCCGATTAACTGAACTGATCCTCGCTATTATAATTCCAGCTGACTTGGAAATGATTACGTATTTTCTTTATGTAATTCCAAATGAAAAAATTTCCCCAACCCAATTCCTTTAATTGCAAAAAAGTAAACCACAGTAAATAACCCGGAATTCTAGAATCCGATTAACCATTGAAGTGCCAGGATGGAACATCAAATCCTTTTATGTTTATCAATATAAAGTATGATAATATTAAATTACAATATAATATTAATATATATTAATATATTAATATAAATAATAGTATGTAATAATAATATGTAGATATGTCGTTATTAAATAAATACAATAAAAAAAAATTTTTTTTTTCGACATTATCCATTTTTTAATTTAAGGTTTATTTTTTATGTGGAGGGGAATATTTCATAATATATGAAAATCAAAAAAACCTGTTATTTTATACTACGTTCAAGTTACTACGCATCTCATCCCCGCAGTTCTTCCTTAATTTTAATCAATCTGCTTTGAAAATCAAATCATCTGATGTGAATAAAAAAAAAAAATTATCAGTAAAGGGCCAATAATAAAAGCCATTTTCTCACGCTTGAAATTCACACGATGGCTGTATTTACTCCTAAAAAAAATGATCCCTTATAAATTAATCAAAAGGAACGAGACAATAAAACATGTGTACTGAATAATTGCAAATTCTTGAAAATATTAAAAATTCTTTGAACTTTAAAAAAAAAAGTATGTAATCGCATGTGTAAATAATTTTTTTTTTTTATAAATACATATGTAATTTTTCGATTGGATGCAAGGAGATATTGTTTTTGGACTTGTGGCTATCTAAGGTTTAAACAAAAAAAAAAACGCTGATCATCATTTAATGATGCGTTATCGACATGTCAAATGTCAAATATAGAGACTGATTCTTATGACGTGTGTTCATTTGTTCGACCAATCAATTCAAGCACAAATTTATATCCTGCTCGCCAACTTGATGTTATTAAGAGCATGTGAAATCATTGGAGGCTGTACAAGAGAATATTTTCTAAGCAATGGCAAATTCATTTGTATGAAATTAAACAAGAAACCTTTTAACAAATTTAAAAATGTGTTTACTCGTGAAATTCCAGATCTGGGCGAAACCATCCGACGATTTCCGAAATTATTTCGCTCGAAACTTAAGTAAAACTAATCGGAATGTAGTTAAAGCATGATGTAATAAATAGTTTAATTGACGAACATATAAAACTTTAATAAATTAATTCGATTTGGATATATGATATGTATAAAAAAGAAACAATATACAATTTCCTTAAAGGATCGAAATAAGATTAACTATAAGAAGTTATTTTGAAGAAAATGTCATTTCTCTGAATGATGTTATCTTACCTCATTTTATATTTGAGATATAAATATATCATGTTCTTTATTTATTATATAAATAGTATTACTCTATAACTTAAATTTAAAAAGTTACTGGTAGATTATTTAAGTAATAAAAAGAAAACTGAAAAAAATTATATTAAAAAACCTTTAAAATTTGATATTATACTATATTAAATATAATTATCTTTTTAAAATAAATTTAAATAAACAATTTATTTATAATTCTTATTATATTTAAATATAATTTATTTATAAAATCTTTAAAAAAAATTGTAAAAAAAATTTTATATACTAATATAAACTTTTAATCAAAATATTTTCAAATTTAATTTTAAACTTTTTTCAGATTTAACAAAATATTTAAATCTTTAAGTTATTTTTATTAAAATCTTGATATTTATTTTTTGTGAAAAAAGATATACTATGGAATAAAGTTATAGTAATACACGTGTACTAACAAAGTTTTAGTATTTGTATAGTACTCAGACAAATAGGGCTAGAATATTTCAAGTAATAGTATATTATATAAATCAAATTTAATATAAATTTGTATAGCTTATATAATAGAATTGTATATTAAATGATTTACTATTTATATAATACAAGATTAAAGTTGTTTTTTTCATATTATAATGATTTCATTGTTAACAATTTGTTTTTTTATTTCTTTAAAATAGTATAAACTTTAAAGAAAATACATTATTTTAATAAACTTGAAAAAGTGAAACAATTAATAAGTTATGCTATTGTAGAGTATATTTTAATAAACTTATTAAAAAATTATTTATAATTATAGATAAACTGATAAAATTTAAAATATTTTATAAAATTATTATAATTTTCAAAAAGCATATAATGAAAAAGTAAAAATGAAGTTTTTAAATTTAATAAATAAAAAAATTTAACTTTAAGTAAAAGATCAAGTATTTTTAGTGATATAGAGTCGCATGTGACTTCATAATACAATTATATTATAAAGTCACATGCGACTTAGATTAGGTTATGAAGGAAACTTCATAGTCTACCGGTATCTTCATAATATAATGGTGAGTTCATAGTCTGTTGGTAACTTTATAATATAAAAGTGATTTCATAATATAACAGTGATATCATAATCTAATTACATGATTTGGTGATAACTTCATAACCTACTATCCATATTCTGATAGTAACTTCATAACCTACTTATGGGTAGCTCCTTTGCATTTATAGTATTGTTTCAACTGTTTCCTATATAATATGGTAGTAACTTCATAATCTAATGGTGACTAGTAGTACTTTAATTTAATAATGATGTCATGATCTAATAGTGACTGCTTTCTTCTTATTTCTAATCCATTTACATAATAAAATCTATATTGTTAGTTCTAGCTTTCCAGTCATCTTTAAATACCTAGTTCTATAATGAGGGTGCCGGCCCTTTATGCTAGTTTGGATACTAGATCTATATTAAGAATTTGTGCCTTTTTGGTTGCCTTTCTAGATGCCTAAATGGTGTAAAAAAAAGGTGACAAGTGGCGCAGTAAATTCATGATTAATTTTAGCTGACATTATGCTATAATTCTAACTGATCTTGGAACTCATAATTTGGATCCAACTTGGTGACATGATGCGTCATTATAGTGCCGTGATAGTGTTATAGAACTATCGTGAAACTGTTATAGAACTAGCAGAATGCTAGAGAAGTTCTATTAGTTCGTTAGTTTTATGCTAACTTGGATGTCGAAATATTATATCTAAAAATCTGACTGAAATTATGGAATAGTGTTGGCAGAAATTTTTGTTAATTTTACTACGCCTTAAATTTTGAGTGTTTATTTCCAGAATAATACCTGAGATAATGCCTGGAATGCTGAGTTATATGACCAGAAATTATGGAATAGTGCTGGCTGAAATTTTTGTTAATTTACTGCGCCTTCAATTCTAGGCACTTTCCTGTCACTTCCTCGTCATTTTCTCGCAACTTTCTCGCAACTTTCTCATTACTTTCAAGAATATTGGTGAGATGTTATAAGCTCTTCTAAGGTCTGATTATAGTCGAAGTAATGTGTATGCTAATTTTTGAGCATCCCTATGAAAATTCTCTGTTCCTATAAGAAAAATTCATAGGGACACTTCACTGGTCAAAATCAAAAAATCGGACATGCAAAATTGGCCTAAAATCAGCCTAAATTCAGCCTAAATTTGGCAAATTATCAAAATCAGCCTAGCCGATTGGCATATATCAGAAATCGGCTAAGAATCAGCTAAAATTTGACCTATCTTATTTATAGCTAATTGGCATACTTATAGCCGATTGGTATATATCAAAATTTGACCTATCTTATTTATAATTGATTAACGTCTGATTAGAACGATTGAATTATTTCTTAGATACGATAGGTATTATCGTTCCTTAAGAACGATGATATCATCCTACCTAAGATACAATTGTTTTATCGTTCTTTAGGGATGATTCCAGGAGGAACTGTCCCCTGTTACACAAAATTTCCAAATCTAGTAATGAGACGATGCATTGATCAACCAATCGAAATCGTGATTTTTTGAAATGAAATCACGTGATTTAAAAAGCCCATCATATTAAATTATTAATTAATCAAGAAATTAAATCATAAAA